TATATATAAAGGTATCTTTACACATGATATCAGCCTCCTGAATTCAAGAGTTTAAAGAATCGGTTAAGGTTCGAGAAGTCTCAATATCCATAATGAGGAGGTCATTGTTCAAAGTGATGTTACTGGAAATCGTGACATCACTAGTAAGCGTGACGTCACTCAAAGCCGAATCASTCCTAATTGCATCGGGTGGTTCAATGGCGAGGAAGTCTGGAGTGGTTAAGGACGAAACCACCGTCTCTGCTATGGTACTACTACTCGATGTGGTACGCGAGTTTTCGTTTAGCAGCTTCGATAACAATGCCTGGGAGATTGTGTTCTGGAAAAAAATATATGGAATAAAGGTTATACACTTGTTACATAGCGTTCCTACTGGGGGCCGAGAAGGATTGGGGAGGAGTGAGTAAGTGAACATGTACGTGTTAAGGCCGGTTTACACTTGCGATTTTTGCAGCCCGATTGTCGCGCGATAATCGCCACTTTGCTATCGCACAACTCAAAAGGATGTGTAAACAAGTCAATCACCGCGAAACTTAGGCGATGGTCACGCGACAATCGCGCTGCAAAAATTGCAAGTGTAAACTGGCCTTTAGTGAGTCCCTGGAAGATCACTTTACAAAAAAAAAAACAATGTTAAATGCAATACTCTTKCAATAAATAGTAAGCATGACAATGCCAGGAAATAAATGGTAATCACGGCAATGCCAGTAAATAATAACTGGCGTCACTGCCTTACAAGATATGGAGTAGGCTATGAATCATTGATACTGTAGTTAAACTTACAACTGTATCATCCTCTGATAACTGTCTAAGGCCTTCAAGCTGTTTTTCAATGTCAGCGACTCTTTGGTGCAGTGCTCTTGATTCCTTCTCTTCGCGAAGAACTTTTTCACCAATATCTATAAAGTAGCTTTTATCAGCCTATATCTATCAATATCAGCCTATATAAATAGCTTATATCAGGCTATATCTATCAAATAGCTTATATCAGACAATATCTATAAAGTAGCTTATATCAGCCTATATCTATCAATATCAGCCTATATCAGGTTTTATCTATCAAATAGCTTATATCTTTATCTATAAAATAGCTTATAGAATGATCACACTCAAACCGTGCAACTGTACAAAACTAAATAGTGATATTTAGATGTATTTAGTAAATCCTGAATGCGGTACGCAACTTAAAAATGATACAAATGAAGCATTCAATACCGTCTTGCTTCAGGTCCACTTTTAGTACAAATTAGTACTACTTAGTTTTTGTACAGTTGCACASTTTAAGTGCGATCACTCTATCAGTCTATATCTAGAAAAATAGCTTATGTCGGCTTATACAAAGTAAATAAAAAGTATATACAGTAAATAAAGATTGTTGGATATTATCAAAAAATTATATTTCATTGATGCAAAAATTATCAG